CTGATAAGGCATTACACCCGTTTAGCCGAGTTGCGTTCAGCCAAAGATAAAGCAAAGCATTACGAAACTTGGATAGATCTTTCTTAGGCAGGTTTTGGATTTACAAATGTAATGACGCAAGAGGGAGATAGCAAAGTGGTAGTGATGTCCGCCATCACGAGGATGGTGCTGGTTCGATTCCACCTCGAGCCAACCAAGGCTCTCATTCCTCTGGAGTCAGGAAATTGGCACCGGACTTATCTGAAAAAAATCCCTCTTTGCAACCCAACTAGGAACGCTCCAACCCGGCTATCTCAGGACTCCAGAGAGAATTGCTCGACCGGCATTCTACGACATTCAAGACGAAATGCAAATCCTCAAGCAGCAAGCGAAGCCACACATCAAAGTTGTTGGAAGATCCTCGTCGAAAATCGATGCGAGGAAACGAATCGAATATAAGAAGTGCTGGGATCTGCGCAGTAGCTGTGAAGACGGGTCAAATAAAATAAAACAAAATAAAAACAACGCAATAAATGAAGAAGTAAGCAAAACACTTAGAATTCTAGGCTCACAGCTCTACATTAAACAACGTTATTTCGTGAATTTTCTTCATCATTGTGATTTTCTTCTTCTCTACTTCTTCTTTTCTCTGGTTACTACTAATATTCCACTTAAATATTATGTTTCTTTGTCTAACCATCTACAGATTTCCTTCGCAGCTTAAGGCGATGCCTTCGATAATGTCCCTGATGTACGACCAGGTATGTTCTAGGAGGATACGGTTTCTCCATTGTACTCTCGGGAAACTGCCAGAAGCGCCGTCGACTTCTATCTAGGCGGCGGAAATAGAGCAGAGTTGGTCACCACATCAATATATACTTCTACTTATTTAGCTGTAAATCATAAATCATAATAGGATGAAGCATTTGACCTTGTACTACCTTATGGATGCGCCATGAGTCATAAAGGTGATTCAATGTATATCTGGCGTGACAAGAATTTGTGGGAGACTACCAATCCATCAACTTAACACTGTTATCCTCTCTGACAATTCTTCCACCAATATTACGACTGTTGAGGGAAAGTGAGAGCTTGGTTAGCCCATAGGGCAAAGTCAAACTAACTACTGTTAACATTTTGTGGTCAATCTCTATACATATTAAATTGAATATTAAAATCGACAAAACTCGAAAAAAAAAATGCAAATCAAGCCCACTTCGGAAAGCAACAAAACGGGAAGTAGTCGTCATCTGTGAAGAATGCTTATAACCACTACTGATGTGGTGTTCATCTTTGCCATTTACTCTCCAATGGTCTTTTGCGTCACTAGCTGACGTCATTTCCGCTCGCACACTTTTTTCTTCAGGCTTCCTAAAGATATCAGTGAAATCATGATGGTGCTGCATACGTTGAACGAGAAATTCGACAAGTATATCAAAAAGTAGAGTAGAAAGAAACCCACCAGCATGGTCTTAACAGTGAAGGAGTCTCGTTTCGAGTGGGTGGACAACGTTACTCGGAATTGAAGTAACAGACTACCTTGCAAAGACAGCTATTATTCAGCAATATAATAAAACTTTAGCAGTTCCTTGCAGTAATTTTTGTTGCAGTAACTTTCTAAAACCTTCAGTTTTTAACTTCAGTGATGCTGAGATATTTGCAAAACTCCGGACCGCAAGTGTTTGCGGTGGGGAACGAAAGCACTATTACTCTTTCCGGGAACTAACACGTTCACCACTACACCATGCGGTCCCTTCGTTTCACTTATCTCTCAGCTAGTTTTATCAATCTATTACCATCAGCAATCACCTGTCAAACGGGATTGATCTGGGCGCCCAAATCGGCAACGAACCTAGCTAAGCTGTGGCTGTAGTTATAATCACGATTTTAATGTGTCGTTTTCTTGTTCAGCAATCGCAAGGTTTTTAAACAGCATACATTTACTTCCATAAAAAACACAATACAATACAACACTAGCTGACGTTTCGGCAGTATCGCCTTCTTCAGAGCCTGGAAGGGTGTGCTGATATATAATCTACTGGGCCAAACGCTTCAATGTATGCTGTTTAAAAACCTTGCGATTGCTGAACAAGAAAACGACACATTCATATTCCAATGCCGAGGATAATAGAAAGTCGATCCTGGGAACTTTCACGATTTTAACTTATTATTTACTGCTTACTATTTTTAATGGCAGGGTATACTGCGAAATATAAATTCAATAATGTTGAAATGTTTTCAGAATTTCGGACCGCAGGTGTCTGCGGTGGGGAACGAACGCGCTATTACCTTTGCAAGTGGCCGGCACGTCCCTAACCACACCATGCGGATCTTTCGTTTCTTCTGTCTCTCAGCTTCACTTTTTACTTTTCCATTTCTTTTACTTCGATCTCTCCTTATTATTCACTGTCTTCCACAGCGTTTTCAAATGACACTATTCATTTACAATAAATTTATGCTACCATAACGGTCTGCTGATGCAGAAGATCATCAGTCAGGAAAATTTTGGAGAACTTAATTCGTTCAGCAATCACGTTCTCCGTTCCATTGGTGTCCTCGTTGTTCGTAAGTGGTTTGGCTTTCCTCTGTTCATCTTTCACTCACCATTTGTTCGACGAACTTTTTTCAGCTTTGCTATGTGTTCCTTTTCAAACCTCCCTCATGTGAACGATCTAGCGGAGGCTAATCGTAAAGATATGTAGTGTATGAAGTGCAGACCCTTAGATGCCTACTCAAGGGATGAGTTCACTGTTTCTCCATTCTCGATTCTCCGGACCGTTGGTGTCTGCGGTGGGGACTGAACGCACTACTTCCGGGGCAAACGCGCGCACAACAACACCATGCGGGTCCTCCGTTTCGTCTTTCTCTCAGTTAGTTTTCTATCTACCAACGCCTTCAGTATTGTATTTCACATAACACTCTGCCGTGAAAAATTTAGCAGTCACTAAATAAAAAAGCATATTCACAGTTTTTATATAACCCATACATCTAGATCCAGTTGAAACTCCGCTCGCTCAAATCAACCTCATCTGATCTAGACCTGAGTAATCAAGATTGCATCTCATTCATGAGCTTATACAAGGTTGTTTCAGAAATTTCTATTCCGACTCACTATTCGGCGCAATCTCGTTTTTCAAAGTCGCACCTCATTGGGCTGGATTCCACTCATCCATAACGATCCTCGACTGATTGTCTGTTCAAGATTGTCTATGCGGATAATCAATCCGGCAGAATTCGAAGTCATACTAGCTGACATTCAGCCAAGCCGTAACCACAAAGACATACATCGCAAGGAAAAGTGCTGTGAAAGGTCTATTCGAATCATTGGAGCTCTGAAGAAGATAATGGCACCTGAACGTCTGCCACAATAAAAAGTTCTGTAAAAACCTCCTTTGAGCTGTTCAGTAAAACGCGGTCTTGATCATCTAAAGTTGTAAGCGAAGTCCTGTGAAAAACACTAAAACACACTCAAGAAGCAAAGCGTGGAAGCGTTCTTTGATTCGGTGAATGGCTCACTAGGGTTAATTGCGTGCTAAATCATATCTTCTTCCTTGAAGTCCTGAACTCCTTTGATAGAGTGTTCTCAGGTCGTCACCACTAGTGGTCTTCGGACCTCATGGATCCACTTTTTCGTCTTTTTTCGGGGATGGTGGTGATTCCGTTGCCGTTTTACTGACCGCTACTTCTGGAAAGAAACTTTGAATTAGTTGCCAATGGAGATCAGGCCGAATGCGCAGCTTAGATTTTCAGAACGTCACCCTCATTCGAGATCCGAAAGAATATGCACCGAAAGCGGAACACAGAGAGGCCGACCATATAGCAAGAAGAATAGACAATAGATGGGCAAAAAGAACTGTAGGGTGGATTCCATGAGAATACCAGCTCTTCCACCATGATCATGTCCGAAGCGAACAACGACTACTGACGACGACGGCAAGAGAAAGACACAAATGGTTGGTGTTCTGAGAATCTCACTAGTCGTCAAGACGGGCCCTCCACGATCCAAGTGTCCAAATGTCTACACAAGAATACTGCCAGAACTAGAACATTTGAATCTAGAACTAGAACGAACTGACATTTGACCACCTTGGCAAGAGTTTCAGGTTTTCTGGATTGCATTATAACAAATATGTTTAATCCTGAAACAAATACATCCTTAACAATACAAATCCTGCAAATAAAAAGAATGCACACCTCTCATCTATCTTCGCACGCAGCGCCATTTAAAGTATAGGGATGCCAACAGTGCAACCGTAGTAGGTCCCGCAACGATTGCCAACGTTGTAGGCCTTTAGTTCTGTGGAGTTGCTAAGGCTTTATTTCCTAGCTGATGTGTGACTTATTACTTGTTGCTTTCTCTTTAATTTTAGAGATGTAGTTACTTATTGATTGATTTATATCGCTAAAATGTTTCATGAGATGATTCGAAGGCTTTGCTAAGAACTGTCGTTAGGAGAATTTTCTGCACAGTAGCAGTGTTAATAATACTTAAATACCTGGATGGCCCATCCTCACTGGTTGTGTGGGCATCAGCATAATTTCCATTTTTTTCCGTGTTCTGCTGGTTTAGCCGTCGTGGTTCCTCGGAATCTCGACGTCAGCTAGGCCAAAGTCTGCCCCAGAGCAATGTTAGTAATGGTTTTTCTAAAGCTTTTACCTTTGTGTCGTTTGGCTTAGGCTTTCGAAACCTGGAGTTTCTTGACCCTTCTAGTAATGTTTGTGAGAATAGCTGTACCGAAACTATATTTTCATGGCGAAGGTACTGGTTCAATAATGAAATTGGCTTGGAATCCATGTTTTCATAGTTTTTTTGCTTTTCAATCAGTCGATTTATTTTTATTATTTCGAAACTCTGTTTATAATCTTACTGGAACTCTAGTTTTATCTGAATATGCTGTTTTTGCTACGGGTCTCTTCAGTACTAAGTTGCCGCTTTTGATTCTATCGCGTTGATCTTTCTGCCTTCTCCTGCAGTACTGTCTTTTTTTCCAGGTAAATCCTGAAATCGTCCACAACCTGAGATGGTGAGGTTTTCACAGCCCTTTTCCTCTTCCGAAGCAGTTGTTTACTTTTTTCAGGGTATCGACATCAATCATAAGCACGACCGTAAGGTTCGTAGGACTTCACCGAAAAGCGAAGATCCGTACCTTAGAATTCTGGCCAAGGTGCATTGGTTTAATACTTGCTTATCCTTATTCCTCCAGCAGCTCAACCGTTTTTGTTTTTTTTGCATGAAACTCTTTATCTTGTCCCTATGGCCTCCTTATTTAAGCCATCTGCATTTAGCTCTACAAGTTCCTTGCTAGACGAACCGGTGAAAAGTTTAACAACATCATCATGAGGAGACTGTTCATGTCGCGACGGTTCCGTGCTCCTTTATCGATTGCCCGGATTAGCCGCATATTGAAGAAAAAGAGCAACTCGAATAAGATTGTGGTCACGTGTAGTACCGTTACTGACGACGCTCGACTTTACGAAGTGCCGAAGTTTACTGTGAGCTATCTTTGTTTTCTATAAGTGTTTAAAGTACTTTAGTAGCTAGTTCAATGGCAAACTGTAGCATTACTTGGATGCTTAGATGATCGGTCTTCAATCGTTGTTTGCGGGCCCTAGCGTAATTTCCAATTTTTTGGAGTTTTGCTGGTTTATAGATTGTGGTTCCCTGGAGTTTCGAGATCAGCTTAGCCAATTTCTGCCCCAAAACTGTACCACTGGTGGTCTGAATTCGCTACTAAAGCAAGTTAACCCAGTTTTTTCGTACAGGTTCCTACCTTAAGCATAGTGGTTGGTAACAAGTCCGTTAGATTTCGTTCTGATTTATGATCACAGTCATGATTTACTTCTAATCAGAAGTCGAGGGTTCGGTTAATGGTCAACGAGAATCGTCGTTTACCCGAAAAGGTACTGCAGAACTTGAATAGAGAGAGCACCATATGTTTGTAGTTTTCTGCAAGGTACACTTTTCTCCTCGTGTGGAGTGGTACTTTGTCCACAAGCAAGACGGCATTGTCGGTTGTCTCAGAAAACAATAGGAATAGCTCTAATGGACGTACGAAAGATTTCCGTATTTAATCCATTCCGCCCTATATGGGCACTATAGTGACTATAGCGATTTCGACCAAACGACCGTGTGAATACTACAGCGTCCACATTTAATTTAGTGGGTTCCATAGTTTTTGTTTTTTTTTATCGAACTATATATGTATCCATTCGATTGCTAATCGAGAACAGATCAAAATAGGAAGAGTGAGACGAGGAAGGCCATTGTCTGTGCTTAATGATTTATGAAAAAACCTTTTTTTTTGGAAGAAGTTTATTGGCCTGTAATGTGACTAGCAGTCTATTGTTACTTCACCTTAAGAGCTGTGGTTATTGTAGGGAATGTGGGGATATAAAAATACCGAAAAAGACCCAACATAAGCTGAGAAATGATTCTAATTGCTAAAAGCAGTGTATTATTTGCGATGTGGACCATAGTAGCCCATAGTAAATAGTAGCATACACATCAGTCATGTTCATGAAGCGATATAGCAAAGTCTTCTCTACATTCCTGTCTTGTTCAAAACACGTAATTCCTCTAGTTATTGAGAAAAGTTGTTTTATTGTCAAAACGATCCGTGGTGCGATATATAGTTGCTTCTTGTTCACATACCTATGTCATTACGCTGAATCCAATGTTATCCTTGAAACAAATCGCAGCTCCGAAAACTTGCGAAATACATTCAGGAAGGCGTGGATGAAAAGAAATAAATGGTTTGTATTATAAAACATGTGGCATGTATTGCGAAGTAACATCCTCAACTGCGAATTGAGGTGACTGATGGGTCGCATTGTTATTTCAGTTGTGGCGAAGGTGTTTCAAAAGGCATTTGTGGAGTTAGTTCGCCGTGTAATTTAATTTTGTCGTCAAATGTACTCTGTTTCATACGGACCACATACATGTATGCTTTACAGCTTGCCGCTCTTAAAGTCACACGTTCTGCCCGTGCCCGTATACTGAAGGCTGGAGGTGAGGTGATCACTCTCGATCAACTTGCGTTACGCGCTCCCAGAGGAGAAAATACTCTTCTTCTTCAAGTAAGTTATATCTTTTTGTGAACTTACCCAAACTAAGGGGAATTTTTTTGCTTAGTGGATACCATTCGTATTCACACAGTGATTCATAGTTGTATGGTTTCATTTATTCATAGCAGTTAATTCACTTTCGTGCTAACTTTCTATAGGGCTATTTTCCGCATTATGATCAGTGCATTTCGTATAACATAGGCATAGCTAATGAAAATTTAATTATTTTTCCTGATTTCGGTGCACCAAGACTAGTGATATGCCCCGTATAGTTTATTTTTCAACGATAAGAAGTTTAAAGAATTCAAGTAAGTTCAGAAAATTACCAAAGTGGCATGTGGCCTTTCCCTCTTACCGCCTTCTTTGTTTGTGAGGAAACCATAGAAATCCACGAAGTCAAATCTATATATTTATACCAAGAGACTACAAGATTTTCTAATAGACACGAAAGGAGGCACCTATGACGATGCTGATATATTCGCAAAACGTAGACCGTGACCAGATCGAACCACGATTTTTCTTTCAGGGAGTTCGCGCATTACACACTGCGCCACAGAGTGCCTTGCTATGCGTTTCTCTCAGCCAATTTTTCTACCTATTCTACCTGATCAAGAAAACACTGCATTATTAACCCGTATAATGCTGAGATATTTGCAAAACTCCGGACCGCAGGTGTACGCGGTGGGGAAGGAACGCGCTATTATCCTTTCCGGGGAGTAACGCGTTCACCACCACACCATGCGGGTCCTTCGTTTCGCCTGTCTCTCAGCTAGCTTAACTGGGTTATATGTTGAGATATTTGTTAAACTCGGACCTCAGCCAGCTTCGAACTCGTAATTGCCCTTTCTGAGAGTTTACACGCTACTCACTGCGCGACTGAAGGTCTCCCAGATCATTTCTGTTGACAGGTGATTGCTGATGGAATTGTTAAGGTAAAAAATTAGCTGGTAAAATGGCAAAGGAAGGGTCTCCGTGGTGCAGTGGGAAGCACGTGAGTCCGTAGAAACGGCAATTCGGGGATAAAAGCCAGCCTAGGGTCTGAGTTTTGCACATGTCTCAACATCATTGTTGTTATATCGACACTGATAGAGTGATGCAAATTAACAGTGGCTTAGAAGTGTTCTCCTTCTCCAAAGGTGTGTGTTCCAAAAACTGTCCATCTCGTACTTTTTACGATATAATACATACAACTTTTCGTTTCCCATTGTTTTCGTTACAGGGCCCTCGTAAAGCTCGTGAGGCGCAAAAGCACTTCGGTCCTGCTCCAGGAGTCCCCCATAGTCACACAAAGCCCTACGTTCGCTCAAAGGGACGCAAGTTCGAACGTGCGCGTGGAAGACGTGCTTCTCGTGGATACAAAGCCTAAACCGTCTTGCTGTTCATTTTTGTTGCAAATTGCTGTTCTGACAGTAGAAGTGTTATCTGCTAATAAAATACTGTTTATCCTCTCTGCTTTCTTACGAAGTTAACTGAGGAACGCATGTGTGACAATCCCTTAGTTTTTCAGTTATGGTCCTTTTTGTTTTCTATAGGAATTAAAATTGAGTATATAGAAATTTCTACCGTCCCAACGGTTTACCCCCTCATCTTGGCTAGCAGGTGTTCCTAGGTGTCAGGCTGCGATGTACAACGGAGGATTCGTCCCGCGGTACGGTCTCCCTTGCTGAGGAGTCAGGCGATTCCACCATGAAACCCAGCTAAGTGTAAACTAATAGCTGGAACCACCACCGTGCTGGTATCAAACTGGTCGTATGGTGGCAAATCTCCCTCTGATCCACTATGGCGGCAACTGCATGTAATGACGACCTGGGTATACGTTGGCTAGGTTAGCCTGGGAACTCCAAGAACCACAATTGCTAAATCAGCAAACCTCTGAAAAAAATGGAAATTTAGCTGGGCCGTGGTTTTTGCCGTAATCAATGAGAAGTAAGCGGTCCACAGTTCGTGGTTGAATCTTTGCTGAAGTTGCCTTTGTTTAGTTTAACCAGAAATTTGGTGGTTTCCGTCTTGGTAACGACACATGTGATCCTATAGGTCCCTCACCTATGTAGTAGAAGAGTAGGACTAATGGTTGACATTCGTTATTGTGGTGTTATACGCTACCTGCAAGGGTGCATTACCATTGTTATACGCGTATGACAACGTTGTCCAGGCACCGTCCACATTGCTTCATTGTGCTGTCTGGGAGCGCTTATCTCCTGACGTGGGTGGGTCTCTCCGTGTGGGTCTCCACCTGTGGCAGTGTGTGAACTGCGCTGCTTCCCTTCTTTTGGACATTGTTATTGAATGCGTTTATAGTTCTACCGAAGTATGTATTTCTCTTCATAGTCTCATCTACATGTCAATTGTGACAATGGTATTCTGTTTCAGGCATGCGAAATATTTGTCGATATGTTAGTCGAAGGTACTTCACGGTACTGAAGTATGTCCTTATAGTCGGGTGTTTCTACGTAATGATATCTGTTTTTGGACCCGTAGTGCAAAATATGGAATACCGACGGGTTGGTCGGTTAGGTAGTGAGTCGGTATTTTCTCACCATGTTCCAGACTCTAGGTCTTTTTTCTTTGTTGCAGGAGTAATCCGTGATGGTAAAGATGGCGGTACTGTGGCGAAAAACGGTCTGGTTCCTGAGGATCCATTCCTGAAATTCAGAGGAAAACCTAAGATAGTGGGTAGTGTTTCCAGCTAATTTAGGTAATTAGTTGTGTTTCGTATTTAGAATTGGGAAGATCGGGATGCATACGAAGCTGATCAAGAACGGGTTGGTCCAGGTGAGCAGGGAAAGCCAGTTTCCGTTCCGAATGATACTCAAATTCAACAGGAAGCGGTACGATTGTGGTATTGGAACCTGTGTTTCCACCGTTCGGTTGTGGATTTACTTTGGATTTTGATTCTGTTTACTTCTAGTTGGCGTTGTATCGAGCAAATGGGTACAATGCCTACATCTCGGATATGATTTCACTGAATCGATCAATAAAAGACGTCCGTAATCCAGGATGTAAGACCATGGAATATAATTCCGAGTTACCTACCGTTTCTGTTATATTTCCTTTCCATGAAGAAGTAGGTTTCTCTGTTACTAGTTTAAACCGTGACAAAATGAGTTGAGGTACTCGCATTCTTTGCAGCATAACTCTACTCTCCTGCGCTCTGTGTACTCGATCATTAACCGATCTCCGAAGCAGTTGTTGAAGGAAATAATATTAGTGGATGACTTCAGTGAAAAACCATTCCTGAAAAAGCCTCTTGACGACTTTATCGAACGTCAGGATTTTAACAGTATTGTTAAAGTTCTTAGAACGAAGTGAGTTTCTGTAGTTAAAGGACAAGGTTTTTAACGTGAATTAGTAATTCTGTAATCTGAGACATTAAGGAAACGAGAAGGCCTTATACGAGCCCGTCAACTCGGTGCCGAAAAAGCGACTGGAGATGTTTTGGTATTTCTGGATGCTCATTCAGAAGCTAGTTATAATTGGCTACCTCCATTACTCGATCCTATAGTCACAGATTACAGGTTATGATTTTAGTTGGTTCGGGTGACTTTGTTTCTCCCGCTTCTTAAATTTTTATTGAACTCTACTGTTCAGCGGAATTCAATGCATTTCCGCAATTCATACAATAGTCATGGCGTGTCTCGTTTTCAGCACAAACAAAACAGTTGAATAGGGTTTGTGTATTGGGATATGATGTTTGATCATATTTATTATCAGAACGGTTGTTTGTCCTTTCGTCGACATTATTGATTGCGAAACATATGAGATTCGGCCACAGGATGAAGGTGCAAGAGGTAAATTTTCGGAGTATGTGCTACATAGAAATCCCGTGCAGTTGACAGATGTTAAAACAGAACCAACAAAGAAGTGGATTGCTGTAATGTTCAACTTTTTAGTTACTGCCTACTGTTTAATTACTGCCTGGGTATATGTGATACAACCAAAATGATGGTGAAATATTTGCAAAACATGGCCCCAGGTTAGCTTCGAACCCTCGATTACCCCTTCTGGGAGCTAACGTGTTATCCAATGCACCACCGAGAGCTTTGCTTTGCCTTTCTCTCAACCAGTTTTCTACCTAACGGTGCCGCCAGTATTCACCCGTCGATGAGAATGACCTGTGGAGCACAAATTGACAATGAACCCAGTTAAGCTGAGGTTGTGGTCGAAATTATACTTAAATGATAAGCAGTAATTGGCAGCAAATAAAATCAATAGCAACAAGCTATATAGGCAGTAAATAAAAGGTCAAACATTGTGATTTCAACTACAGCCTCAGCTTATTCGGGTTCATTGCCGATTTGTGCTCCCCAGATCATTCCTGTTGACGAGTAATTGGTTATAGCAGCGTTAGGGTGAAAAAACCTTCCGAGGGGAAGGCAAAGCAATGGCCTCGATGGTGCAATGGGCAACAAGTGAGACCCCGGAAATCGTGGGTTCGAATCTGGCCCATGGTCCAAATTTTACAGATATCTCACCATCATTGTGGTTCTATTTCAGTAAAATTGCTATTTCGACCCAGCTTTCTACTTCAGAAAACACTCCCATGGCTTCCCACATCCTCTCCCTTTTTTTTTTTATCTAAACATAGTTTCTGGTCCAAATTATTAGATCAGCCCATTGAGGAAAACATGTACCCTATGGATTGAGCATGAGCGAGATAATTTAGTTCCTAAACTTAATAATTAAGTCTTCCATCTAGCGCTTATTTCAGGTCACAGTCAACTTCTTGACCTCATTTTCGACAACGTGATTCATATATGATTTACAAGTGGCCATAATTAGTTTGATCTTCAATCTTTAAACCATCGTATCTCAGTTTGTAACAAGCGTTTGTAATTTTTGAAGTCCAGCATACGTGAATTTACCCTTAAAGCTGGTCAAGCAAATGGATCTACGTATGTTTATAATAAGTCGTTTTCTTTGAAGTCGTTCATATTGGTGCAAGAAGTTTTTCGCTCTAATTCTTATAAGTGGTTGGAGTAGCCACTGCGACGTACACGTGGAATCGATCCCTGCGCCCTTGCCCCACCAAGCTTTCCATTCCTCCGGGGTGGGCAAATTGGTACCAGACTTGTCTGAAAGTAGAGCGGCACTGGTTCGATACTTAGGCAGGTTTCCGCGAGTCATTTTAAATGCCAGCAGTGCATACAATCACCTCCAACGATACTTAATGAAGTCGAATCCATGGCGTATCCCTCAGGGATTGGTCAACGCCGAGAGCTTTATCCTTTTTATTTACTTCTTATATGCGAACGATTTCTTAGGTAGTACAGTGGTAGTTGTGCCGTTCTTTAGAGTAAGGCGTTAGTTCGAACCCGTCCTTTATGCCCACTGGACATCCAATCTCTCCGAAGTCAAGGAATTGCTACTGCACTGGTCTGGGACTAGATAGCTCCTTCACATCCACAGAAGCTGGTGCCAATTTGTTATGAAGATTCGAGGACGCTCTAGCATTGGCTGAAGGAAGTTCCTCAGGTAGTAGTCCAACCACCAAGCAAACTTGGAAGCACTTCGTGGAACGTGTATGCGAGGAATCAAATCGAATGCAAGAAATGTTCGGATCACAACATATGATATCAGGTCTTATAAAATAAAATGGACTAGTAAGAATCAGTGGCTTACCCAGCACAGACCATTGTGCTAGGCTGAAGAACTATTCTCTACGTGCGATAGTTAGCATTAAAACTATTTATTGGGAAGAGATTGTTGTTGTTGAAGACTGCACCCACCACAGAGATTGTTGTCGAATTGTGCTATGTTTAAACAGTGAAGTTCATTAATTAAAGTCACTTTTCGCTACGGTAAAATGGTAATTCATTGAGGAAACTTCTATAAGTCTGATTGTAGTGCAGTTCTGCACACAGCATCACCAAAATTGCTGGTCCTTAAGATGGTTTGACGCAGTTCTTTTCCTCATGGTATATTATTTCCACTGATTATTTCTAGTCCGTTTTCTCACAATTTCCACTTTTTACATACTGTTGACAACCGTGACAACAACAACAGACAACATCAGAGTGCAATTTCATTTAACACTTAGAGTTCAACGTGAATGGATTTCCATTTAGGTATACAATGGCAGATTAAGTGGCGTGAGTTGATCACATCCTTTTTTTCGACAAATATATGAACAAGATGTTTCTCATGCGATCGAAATGAAGTACTGAGTTCCTTCTGTTGAGATTATGAAAGTATTTTTCCGAACAGATTGCGTCTTGGCTCTTCCAGGCTCTGAAAAAGGCCGGACCGTCGAAACGTTAGCCATTATGAGATTCATCAAGAAAGCAATAACTTCTACAGAATAGCTTTTCAGGTTCACGCCAGAATAAAAATCTGCATTGGATAAGCTATCGGTTGAGTACAAAAACTGTAATAAAGAGCCTCCGTACGGCGAAATAAACGGCAGCAAAAAGATGGGATGACGTCAGCCCACGCTGGTTAATTTTCCCTTCGTGTATGGGTGAAATTCCACCTGCATTGGTCTCTAAGTGTTAAATACAGCTGCAGTTTGCGTTCATGTTATACTTCACTTACTTGATACTTGAACGGCCTTGGTTGTGCGGACCCCAGCATGGTCTCCACTTTTCGAAGATTTGATGGTTAAGCCATTTTGATTCCCTGGAATCCCGAGGTCGTCTTGGGCAAAGCCTGCCCCAGGTCTTCACCACCACGGGCGGTCGCAGTCCTTGTGGATCAGAGGGAGACTTATCACCATGCGACTTTGATATCAGGACTGTGGTATATCCTCGTATTGGTTTACTCTTAGCTAGGCTTCCTGATGGAAACACCGGACCCCTTCTCAGCTTGGGAGACCCTGCTGACAGGACGAATCCCCCCGCTGTACATCGTAGTCCGACACCCAGGAACACCTCAGCCACGATGAGGCGGTAAACAGTTGGGAACTTCATGTTATACACCTTTTTAAAACCTAAGTTTTGTTGTTTATTTCTAGAGTAATGTTTCTGCTACTAGCTCGTATAAAATCGGAGCTCCTGCCAACGGTTTACCCCTCCCCCATCGTGGCTGTGAGGTATTTCTGGGTGTCGGGCTGTGATGTGCAGCAGGGAGATTTGTCCCGCCGGTAGGGTCTCCCTTGCTGAGAACGAGTCTGGCGTTTCCATCGGGAAGCGTAGCTGAGAGTAAACCAATATTAGGGTCCACCACCGTCCTGGTATCAAGGTCGCATGGTGGTAAATCTCTCTGATCCACAAGGGCTGCGACTGCCTGTGGTGGTGAAGACCTGGGGCAGACTTTGGCCAGGCTGTCCTTGGAATCCCAGGGAACCATAGTGGGTAAACCAGGAAAAATCCCAAAAAATGGAAATTAAGCTGGGGCCAGCACAGCCAGTGAAGGCGGACTCTTCAAGTGTCCAAGTAAGTGTATAAATTAGGTACATTTAAATAATGATAAGAAATAGGTGAATTCGAACATTTTGTCCGCACTCGTTCTGACTTGGAGAGAAGCCGGTGAAAAAGCATCGGATTTGCATTTTGTTTTTGAGTCGCTTAAAAGAAAATGTCAAATTTGAAGAAACAAAACTAAAAGTTTTCGTGACAACCTTACTTGTTTGTTTTAAACCTGACCGAGGTGTATCTGTTATGTACTTGTTCGTCACCCTGTTAACAATGTAGTGATTGATTTTGTAACTAATTAATGCAAGTATTCTCTACATTTCTAAAAGCATAGTTATAGGTTCGTTTGACTGGACTTTTAACTATAAGCGACTACCTCTCACGAAGAAGGACCGAGCAAATCCTACGAAGCCGTTCCCAAGTCCTGTAATGGCTGGTGGATATTTTGCAATCTCGTCCAAATGGTTTTGGGAACTCGGAGGATATGATGAAGGGCTTGATATTTGGGGCGGTGAGCAGTACGAACTAAGTTTTAAGGTGAGTTTTCTCTCTCTGCCACCTCACTTCGTGCACACTTGTGAGGTATAAGCTTTTGTTTCTTAGGTTTGGCAGTGCCATGGTCGAATGGTTGATGCGCCTTGTTCTCGCGTAGCACATATTTATCGCTGCAAATATGCCCCATTCAAGAACGCAGGAATGGGTGATTTCGTTAGCCGGAACTATAAAAGAGTAGCTGAGGTATGGCCCTTGTCTTCGTTTCTTCAGTCCTCTTTCATTTCGTGGGCATTTCTGAGGTACGAAGCCAAAACAACGCTACATTAGGTTTGGATGGATGAGTACAAACACCATCTTTACAAACATCGACCTGCGCTGGAGGCAACTAACACTGGTATGCTCTTCAGGGAGATCTTTAATGTAGTTTGAACGTTCAACATCAAAAAGGCGTTGGTTTGAATAGCATTCCTGTGCCAAACCAGCTTCCATCTCTCTGTAGTCGATCAGTCCTTAGATCACTGGTTGTAGACAGTTTATTTTACAGAATGTAACACAATATTTTTGCTCATTGTTTTTGTTGTGCTGTTGTTTTCATAGATTATTTCTCATTATCTTCAGGCGATATATCGAAACAGAAGGCTATACGAGAGCGTCTGAAGTGTAAATCATTTGATTGGTTCATGAAAGAAGTGGCTTTCGATCAAGATCTTTACTATCCAGCAGTGGAGCCAAAGCCATCTGCAAGCGGTAAAACTTTCCACACGGGTTAAGCACACATGCGCAACATTTCGTGAACGGTTTCGCCTTATTAAATCTCGCACGATGACGTGACCTCTGTAGGAGTCATACTTTGCGAAAATAATTCCATTCCACCCCAAATCAACATACCTCACCTTACAGTGAATTTCATCAATTGCAGTAAGAACTGTTAGAATCTGAAAATCTTTTTTCTAAAGGTTGGACGTTACTTTAGCACTATGGAATTTTGATCTTCTGAAATCCTCGACATATATCTCTTGCACTTTTTTTGTTTCAAGGTTCATACTTTGAATATGAAAGCAAACGAACAAACGGGATTTCGTCTAGGATGACGCGATGGTGTTTCCCAGTGTTTTTAATATTTGCACGTGCCGGTCCTTCGGTGGAGTTTTCAGAACTTTTAAACTTCATTTTCAAATTTTTAGAAATCTTGACATTTGAGCATATTTAAATTTGAAGGAACATTGTACAAAAGTCATATCTACGACTAGTGCAACAGAGCAAACTCTCTGATATGGATCTATAAAGTTCTGAACTTTTAAATACTTCATTTATCGAGAAATTGTGGTCAGTTGTCCAAAAACCAGCGTCGTCGTGAAAGCTAAAGAACTATTTTGACTTCCTATTCGGCAACTGGACTAACCATCTCTTCTTTCGAGGTTTTTTTTAGCAGTGTGGTTCCGGTTAAATGAATTTTATTTTAGGTGAGCTCCGAAATAAGGGAACGAAAATGTGTGTTGACACGAGGTACAAGCAAGTGAATCAACGATTTGGATTGAGCAAATGTGTTAGCGATGATCCGAAAGAAATGGGAGAACAAGTACTCATTTCCCTTTTATAGTTAGAAATCGTCTTATGCATCCATCCAGCATAGCTTTTCAGAATCTTCGTCTAACACGGTGGCATGACATTAGACCAGAAGGACGTTCCGTTTGCTTCGATTGTTCGACTTCAGTTGATAAAGCGCCAGTTGTTCTATTCGACTGGTATGTGTTCATCAAGTTTATGATTTCAAAAACTTATCACCGGTAAAATTCTTTCCAGTCACAGCATGAAGGGAAATCAACTTTTCAAGTACTGGATCGATGATGAAATGATTTTCCACCCAGTAAGGAAACCACTTCAAATGGTCCTTTTCTTGTTGTCGACTAATATACACTTTAGGTGTCATCTTTGTGTCTGACAGCAGCTCCTGACGGTTCAGGCTTTCTCTACATGCAACAGTGCGACAATGAATCTCTGTACCAAAAATGGACTTGGCAGGTAAATTAACGCAATGCATTTTAGACAATTGGACGGCCCGTCCTCACTAATTGTGTGGGTCCCGGCACAATCTCCACTTTTTCGGAGTTTTGCTCGTTAGTCACTGCTTTCCTGGAAACCTGAGGATAGCCTGGCCAAAGTCTGCCCCAAGTCGTCACCACGACAGGCAGTCGAATGAATCAGAGGGGGATTTGCCACCATGCGACTAGTTTGATACCAGGACTGTGCCCGATCTTGGTATTGGTTTACTTCTAGCTAGTCTTCTTGATGGAAAAACCAGGCTCCTTCTCAGCTTGAGACCCTGCGAGGAGGACGAATTCCTCACTGTGCCTAGCAGCCGCCTGGCACCCAGGAACACCTCTCAACCACGATAAAGCAGTAAACAGTTGGGAGGCGTTAACTCAACAAAAGTTCTAATATTGGGATTCGGTTTGCATTTCGTGACGCTTTTTAGACTATTCGAATCCTGCATATCTGACACCTCCAAAATAGATCTTGCTTAACTATGGCGAGAATCAATCGTAAATTCTTGTATGCAACACTGATTTGTTGTACCTATCAGCTATACTACTGTTTGGTTGTTATACTGTCTTTATTGTGTCGAAATGTAAAGTGTAGCTTTTTAAAGGTATTGAACAAGGAACTGCTAGATGAGAGGCAACGAAATGAACCCAAGGAATTGGAATGAGTAACCCAGACTAAGGACCAAGTGATTTCACTTACTATAAAACGTGTCAATGTACCCTGTATAATACGAAGTTGTTGAATCTTACCAAATGACTAAGTTTAAATTGTTGTATGAATATGCTTGTACTATTCTCCCGGTGTACTGCTTGAATCGTTTCCAAGCCTAAATTGATATATTGTTTCATTCATGTCCCATAACTCCAGGGTACTCAGTTTGGTTGTCCATATATTTTGTGATTATATTGAGCCTAATTCATAATAATTTACTAACTTGTACTGAAATAATGAAAATACGAATTTATGAAGTGTAAAGGAGTATCACAGTAAAACAGCCAGTAGCTGTAGGATTGTAAAACAATGGTCGTTATTCCAATATGATAGATCAGCTATAAATTTAATCATCTAACTATTTTCTTAATAATACCAGGTACTCGACTATTCGATCACATCGACAACTTACATTTGAATGGCTTCCAGAACTTGCCATTCGAACTGACTAGAAATCGATCGTAGATGAAACATCGGGAACACCAATATGGTGTAATGATGCGCGATTGGTGTCTTTAGTCTTCTGCACACAGGCTTATCATCTCATCGTCCTCGTCATCGTCAGGAGGTGGAGCAACGCAATACTTCAGAGGAACCACGAAAACCTGAAACGAATCGCGTAGAACATTGCTTCAAGTGCTCTTCCCTATCAGTGAAGTACTCCTTCCGAAACATTCATGAACACTCTGCTACGCATTGACTTCTTTGTGCGAAAAAGCACATGTGACCACGAATAATCTGGCCTTTGTTTAATCAAATAAGTAACACGGGAAGCGCACTGTTTAGTGATATACTACAATGCATATACGAATGGTCACCAGTTCGACCCTGCGCTTACACAACAAAACCTCCCATCCTTCCGTGTTAAGTAGTGATAATAGATTTGTTTGCGAAAAGGTATGTCTAATCCAGAAAAGGCACTTATTATGAAAACATGAAGAGACAAGGCTCTTAAGTGACAGCCGAATCGACACGCAAAAATCCAAAGACCTGGATGACAGGTGGTAGACAATTAACCGAATGAAAGCAGCACTAGATTCTCACGATAGGTGAAGCCGGGACATTTAAATTTAAAATTTAATGTGATGAACAGTAATCATTTTGCCAACAAGTTAGAAGTACATTTTCTCCTATAACATTAGACATAAATCAGGCAAAATAGATGCTGGCCGATTTTGACAACACATGTGGAGAAACTGATATGTGGTTGAATCTCCGGGAAAGAATGCCGATGGGAAATAGTTTCATTTCTGACGCCCAATTTTATTCGACAGAGCGAACATCTCTGAATGTCTTACCTTTTTTGTATCTGGGCCGAAAAGTGAAGATGATGAAGAATTCAACTTGACAAGCTTACGATAGCATTGGGGATATAGTGAAGCCGAAGGAAAGTTGGATCTGTGCTCAAGTTTTTGACTATATTCACTTCCTTCCAAAGCGTCCTCGTCAGAAGCCTGCCTCTTACGTGAGCAAAATGAACGAATTGTCACCGTTAGTGAATCCGTTGTCGAGAGGGAGATTGTATAAAGAAGAATCAGAATTTGCGAAGTAAGAAGAAGAATAATCGAGAATTAAGGACACAGGTGTGTCAAGACCTCGAAAATTAGCAGAATTGAACGAAAGACAAGAGCAACTGGTGGCTACCAATGTGAAGTTAAGCTCGTTGAGCTCGTAATGAACCTGATTACTTGAAATAAAAACCTTTAGATATAAATTTAGTGTTCCCATAAAGATGAGACACTTTTAGTGTGCAAAAGTCGGCTACTTCTCGTTAGTTTCCTTTCGACGTTCATATAGTCAACTTGGATGGCCCATCCTCGCTGGTTGTGCGGGTCCCACCAAAATTTCCAATTCTTCGGAGTCTTATTGGCTTAGCCATTGTGGTTGTCTGGAGTCTCGACGTCTGTTTAGCCAAAGTTTGCCTCAAGCAGTCGGCGCCCTTGTGGACCAGAGGGAAATTTGCGACCATGCGACTTTGATACTAGGACGGTGGTGGCTCCTGTTATTGGTTCACTCTTAGCGGGGGTTCGTTATGGAAACGCCGGACTCCTTCTCAGCTCAGGAGGCTCTGCTAAGGAGATGAGTCACCCCGTTGTACATCGCAGCCCGACACCCAGGAACACCTCCCAGCCATGATGAAGCGGTAAACCGTTAGTAGGACACAAACAACATTTGCCGTAAAATAACGAGTATTATCTATTCCTTCTCAGTAAGAAACCAACTTTCTAATAATAATCATAAGCACATATACTTTCTCTACAAGCAATTGCACCGCTTTCACGTAAACATCCTTTACATCTCATCTCATCTACTTGTTTTGCAGCTGGCGGGAAAGGTCTCTATAATGTCTTCGTAGGAACTGTTCATCTCTGTACTATAGTTCGCACACTGGATGAGTAGTTGTCGGTCGGCCATGTGTACTTTTCCACATCTACCCTGAACTAGCTTCCTGTGAAACTGCACATACTTGTATCCTTGCGCCTGCATACCCTAGAGTAGTACCATTTTCCTTCAGACGAGGCGTAGAGATGCCCAGCACCGTCCTAAATCACTGTGTTATTCAGCTTGACCTCACCTCCTCAGCTCTCTGACTTACAGAGGCTAGAACAATGTTAACTAAGTCTTGCTCTCTTGCATCACTGACACACTGACACAAAATTATTATCGATCCTCATCTAAACGCTATGCGTTGGTAATCTAGCAACTTTCTCAAACACTTGTGTTCTCCATAAGTACCGTAAAAGGTCACTATTCAAGCACCAAATCATCTACTGACCGTTCCAAGGCGCATTAATCCTTCGATATACGTTGATGTACTTGCGTGATAGGTTCATTGTTAATGCAACTCGTTTCTCCCTAGAAAATCCTTCCTAGTGACCACATTAATAGTTACGCTGTTTACATTTATGTTAATTTCATCGCACTGTTACTCTATGTTAGATCTAATACAGCCTCACATTTGCCTTCTAATATGACAACCCCACTACACTATTATTGTAACCTTACACGTTCTTCCTAATATATTAATTTCATCGTACCGTTATGATAAGCTAAGGATACTACAAACACATACGTGCCTCCTATAGTATCAAGCCTCTTGTACCGTTACACGTGTATTCAAGGCGATACTAATACATACTGTTACTCTCCAGCCTATGGCAAAGCTGCCCTCATGTCTCAAGGGTGATCTCTCACTCATACTGTTTTGGTATTGCATACCGTTATTATTGTACTATTATTGTTGCAGGAGGTTTAATTAACCAAGTTTGTGGTTTTGCTATGTGGCAACGGCAAAAGTTTAGCATAGGGAGTCGTACGGAGTCGAGTATTATATTCCAAACTAGTGATTATCCAATTCCAATAGCTGACTTGATTACTGTATTCCGTTGAGTTAATCATAGCTCACATGTCAAGTGACAACGTAACTGAATGAGTGGGATTCCGTCTAGCACAACATCGTGGTGTCCCAGGATGGTAAAATATAACTGTATCCTGTGTGGCTAATATCTGTGGATTTTAATGGTTTTTCCAGTTAGTAGAGTCCATTGTGAGTTAAGATGCTTCTTTTAATAGGTAATTAAAAATCTTTTTGCCCATTTATCAGTATATAACACATGTGGCCGCGAATTAATTGACAGTTCTCGGCATGTGGAATCATGTAATAAAGGGTATTGATTCTTGGAAAGCCGATAACATCAGAAAAAATAACATCATGAAGTTGAAGAAACACTTCAAAGACTGCATAAAATAAAAGGATAAAGCTCTCGGCGTTGATTCTGAGGGATGCGCCATGCATTCGACTTCATTAAGCATCGTTTGGAGGTAACTGAATGCATATCTGGCCTTTACAATGACTCCCGGTGGCCTACCGATATATCGAGTCAGTGCTGCTATCTTCCCAAACAAGCCTGGTACCAATTTGCCGACCCCGGAGAGATGGAAGGCGTGGTGGGCCATGGGCGCACGGATCGATTCCACGTGTGTATTGCAGAGCGCCTCCGACCACTGCACCACACGCTCCCAAAGACTGCATACCCAGATTCAATCAACAAAGACCACTCCTCTTGCATAAAAATACACAACCACCAGTTGTACAAACGGAATATAAAAGTATAGGACTACGGAACTTCGTCTCATCCAGCGTAATCGTGCGATCATTCACCGACTGCATGCTTCTCTTTTATGTATTTGGATAACTACTTGGAAAACCTTGAACAACCAAAGAAATGCTTCAAACGTCTTCGAAAAATCCGTTGCATTTGGTAGTTCACACTACCCATTAGGAAATTCCTGAAAGCGTCGTTTTCTTGTTCAGCAACCGCGAGGTTTTTAAAGAGCATACATTTACTTCCATAGAAAAAGAACACAATACAACACTAGCTGACGTTTCGGCAGTATCGCCTTCTTCAAAGCCTGGAAGGGCATACTGATATACAATCTACTAGGCCAAACGCTTCAATAACACATAAAAAGACGAAAAACTCTATGCTTATTACATGATCAACAGCTTCTCGAAAAACTCACCGCTTTTTACGTGACTTCCAATGAGTAAGTTTGGAACAGCTGATTATAGTCGCATATGGTTGATGACTGCACCATCCCACATCAGAAATTAATGCGAACATACGGGGTCAGGTCGCGTATGACCTCTGGACATTCATCCCTGCTATTCACTAGCGATAGTTGAAACACCACCGGCTACTCTACGCCGTCAATTAGTTCGTAACCGTCTGTATGACCGTCAATGTGAAACAACAAATTACGTAATTCGCCCTTACGGTAGGGACGGTGATTGCATGAGTTCAGGTACGATATACTTGATCTCTTGTAATAATTGCGGAGATGAATATATTGGCGAAACGGGCAGACCGTTGTGTATCCGTATAAAAGAAGAACTAGATGGCAAACGAAAACTAAGACGAAGTACCCCACTAGGCACGCATAAGATACAAAAGCATAGCGGAGACGATTTTGAAGTAAAAGTCAATATCCTTGCACAGGGGTCCAAAAGACCAGCGCGAAAACTCCTTGAGGCTTTTTGGATAAATGCCAAAAACCCTACAATGAATAGCAGGGATGAATGCCCGGAGGTTATACGCGACCTGAACCCGTATGTTCGCATCAATTTCTGATGTGAGATGGTGCCATATCAACCATATGCGACTATAATCAGCTGTTCCAAACTTATTGGAAGTCACGTAAAAAGCGGTATGGTGCAGTCGTCAACCACATGCGACTATAATCAGCTGTTCTAAACTTCCTCATTGAAAGTCACGAAAAAGCGGTGGGTCTTCTTTCGAGAAGCTGTTGATCATGTAATTACCATAGAGTTTTTCGTCTTTTTGTAAGTGTTATTGAAGCGTTTGGCCTAGTAGATTGTATATAAGTATGCCCTTCCAGGCTCTGAAGAAGGCGATACTGCCGAAACGTCAGCTAGCGTTGTATTGTAATGCGTTTCTCTATGGAAGTAAATGTATGCTGTTTAAAAACCTCGTGATTGCTGAACAAGAAAACTACGCATTCATATTCCAAAGCCAAGGCTAATAGAAAGTCGACTCTGGGAACTATTCCTGAAAGCTCCCAATTTTATGTGGCGACCACGTGAGACGACAACACCCATTTTCCGCCGTAAGTACCAAGAGTGACAAGCGATATAACGGTCCGTTGTGAATCGTAATATATTTATTTCCGGCTAACGTTTCAACGTCTTCGTCTTCCTCAGAGCCGACGATCCGAGTCGATGGTCCACGCTTGTTATTCGTCTCGACGTGGCAGCCTCGCTTTCGTGTCCAGTCAGGTCTTCCTCAGCGAGCCATCTCCTCGAATGAGGCATCCTCACTCGGTGATGCCCTTTTATGCAGGTTGCTGATGGTCGATAGCTGTGATTGTCCGGTGATAGTGTGATAATAACTTGTAAGGGCATAAAAGGGCATCCCGGCAATCCCGTTGAAGGGTGTTTGCTGATGGCAAAAAAATCGATAGAATTGGCTGAGATACATGCAAAGCGAAGGACCCGGATGGTGTAGTGGTGAAGTGCGCTGCTCCCCGGTAAGGACAACAACGCGTGTTCGTTCTCCACTGCATACACCTGTGGTCCGGAGTGTTGCAGGTATCTCAGCACTTCATACGAGTTATAAAAGGGCATCACCGAGTGAGGATGCCTCATTCGAAGAGATGGCTCGCTGAGGAAGACCTGATTGAACACGAAGGCGAAGCTGCGATGTCGAGATGAATAACAAGTGTGGACCTTCGACTCGGATCATCGGCTCTGAGCAACACGAAGACGTCGAAACGTTAGCCGGAAATAAATATCACTATCTACATCTATCTATCATCAAAAATATATCTCACCACTATCACACGAAAAGCGGGCTTGTGAGAAACATGTATCGAACAGCTACCAGCGTGTGCACAGAAAGACAGCAGAGAGAGGAGTCCCTTAACTTGGCGTGACAAATAGCCATTTTTAATGGCTACGAAACTGTAGCTCGAGATAGGTGTAGAGGAAACCACAGGTACCCCAACGATAACTCTAGCGACAAAAAAGTCCCGTTTATACTGTCCTTCATTTCAAATCAAGTAAATACAACTATAAAACGCTGTTTGAGAAGAGCCAGTCTAGAGAATTCGGTAACGATAATCGAAATACCACCGAATAATCTAAGGCGCCAGCTAGTTCGTAACCGCCTATACGACCGTCTATGTGCAACGCAAAATTGCATAATTTGGCCCAATGGTAGAGACGGCGACTGCATGAGTTCGGATACAGTCTATCTGATCTCTTGTAAAGTGTGTGGGGACGAATACGTTGGTGAAACGAACAGACCACTTTGCGTACGTATAAAAGAACACCTAGTAGGCAAACGTAAACCAAATACTCCACTAGGCACGAATAGCACGCAGAGACATAACGGAGAAGATTTTGAAGGGTTACGATCCTCGCGCAAGAATCGAGAACACAAGCGCGCAAAACTCTAGAGGCATTCTAGATTAATTCCAAGAATCTGAAAATGAACCGCAGAGAGGAATGCCTCATTATCATGCGTGATATTGGACAGTATATAAACCTATTATTCTAATGGGAAGAGCACATTACGCTTCCATGTGAATTCTGTGCGGTCGGTCTTCACGCGACATACTCAGTGGAAGACTCATAGAAAGCGGTGAGTGTGCAGAGCTATGTTAAATGTGACTGAAATTTTGGTTTAGCGTTTTCCCTGTTTGGTTATGGAGGTGTTTGGCCGAATAGATTGCTGTCAACTTAACCTTTCCAGGCTCTGAGGAAGGCGAAATCCGCCGGCTTGTACGTAAATAAAGAAATAAAATAGCACCTCGTGTTTGCTGAACAGAAGTAGAAAGGAAATAAATATATTTATCAACCTAGTGTAAGCTTATCAAGAAAGAATACATATTGATTAGTCACACCGAGGTTCAAGGAAAGTCGGTTTCGAAATTATACAGTAATGTGTTGAGTGAAAATAAAAAGCGTGGACAAAAAACTACGTGTGACCAAATAATCAACCTAATGAAAACGCCTCATATATAGTTTGTATGGTTCACTGCTCGTAGTAGTTCCATAAGAGGATAAAATGTGTCCCGCGTTTATCAATACTCTAAGGATGCGCCCTGCGTTCCATTTCACAAAGCATCATAGAAAAAAATGAATGCGTGTTTGGCCTATAATGTGACTGTCATTGCCTTACCAATGTATCATGTGTTTTTATCTTGCAAACCAATGCAGTACTAGACCACTTATTCCAAAAACGATGGAAATCTTGGTTAGTTTGTGAGATGGAAACGAACCAAGGAAAGCACGAATTCTCGCAGGGTATCTCTAAACGCACACGGATCTTCTCATACATGATTTGCTACCATGACTTTGTTAACAAACCTGTATTTAAGTCGAATTACAGCATTTCAAAATTGTCAACATTTTTTACAACCACATAGTAGCCACTTCGAAACACTTGGAAAAAAAAGTTTTTGGGATCCTCCATAGAAACCTTGAGCTTTGGAGGAAAGACGACGAAGATTTAGGAAAGAAAGGAACAGATCCAGGTGGCTAGTAGTCTTTAAATATAAAAGAATGTCATTTTGTCAAAAAGAAACATAGAATCAAAGCAGAGATTATTAATAACTCACGGTTATATCGTCCGTAGAAGCGCTACCTCCACTGCTCATCATCCATCGGTGACCATTACTCCCACTTGGGCAACCTCTCGCAGCACTAGCCAGTTCTTGGGCAGCCATGCTGTACCTGAAAAGATGTAATTATTCAGATCTTTGTATCAGTGGTGTATCTTAACATATATTTTATCCAAGTGATAACACGCTGGGCATTGACAAATCCTTGAAAATACACCATCCATCCAACTCCATTAATCATCGTAAAAGTGAATGAACGCATCCCTGGCCTATAAAATGACTTGCGGAGGCCTATGAACGTATCACATCAGTGGTGCTATTACCCCAGACAAGTATAGTACCAATTAGTCGAGTCTAGAAGGATGGGAAGCATGATTTCCTCTAAGCGCGAGATCGAGTCAAAACATTTAACCACTGCACTACCCCTTCCTCCTTCCCAATGAAATGATTGCAATAAAGGACAAATAATCAAAGTGACAATAAGTGATGGTAGTGCCTCATGCCTTGACTGTTCGTTCTGTTCAGTTGCCGATAATGATGAGCGAACGATAAGACCAGCATCTTCGTTACTCAAAACGTCCCATAGACCATCCGATGCTATGATAAGAACGTCTTTATCCGTTAGAACGTCCAGCTTGCGTAAATCGTAAACTTGAACCTGGAAAATTTTATCATTAGCTCTGAACCTATCTCTCTCTATCTCTCCCCATTCTCTCTCCCTCTCTTTCTCTCCCTTATAGTGAGCTCCATATGGCAAACGATTTAAATAAAACTGAAAAAAGAAAAAGAAATAAAATAAGACTATATCTTCTTCTCCAAACCTTCACACGTCACGAATACATACACATACGCATACATATACACATGCGCATACACATGCATATATGTACATATATGTACCTGTACACATGGAAGAAAATCATAAACAGGGGTGCTATGCAACAGAGCATCGCACTGGCCGCGATCATTGGCTTCTCCACGTTCCCAGTTCCACCACACCTTTCACTCTTCCTTTTTCACTGTACTCCTCCCAGATCCGCATGCTAATGATAAACCGCCCACTGGTTATCGGTTATAAAACATCTATGGGCTAAATGCGACTTGAATTCATAGCTTATAAATGTAAGAAAAACACCGATGTGAGGATGTTTTAGATTATTTTTTAATGTTGCTCTCAACGGAATTCCTACATTCCTGTCAAAGTTCTTAACATGTAACTGTTAAAGAAATTAGTTGCGAAAGTGTGTAGTCATAACGAGTTCTGTGGAAAACAACTTTGACCTAATATACTGAAACACTAACATAAAGTTCAACGCCTTCATATGGCGCAAATTCCGCACATAGACCATGTTCTGGAATTTTTTCGCTCTAATTTTTAAATAGCTAGATATATTCCACACAACTTTCCAACAACCAAGATATCTAAAGACTTTCGGAATTAACAAATTAATGGAAGAGATCGCTTGAGAATGTCTCAGCACTTTTTGAGTTTGATTCGTTTCCTCGTTTTTACGGAGCTCTAGCAACTTTTCGCCTAGTGGCTTCTTTAGATTTTCGCCTTATTTATAAATCTCGTTGGATGATGGTCGAGTCATTTCTCCGTGGAGTCCCAGGATAACTGGACTATAGAGTTCGATTGCAGGAAGTGAGCCGTTCTCAGACAAATCTGACACCAAATCTCTGACCCCAGCGAGATAAGAAGCCTAATGAGCCCGAGGTAGCGTCGAACCAGAATCATGTTGGTGATGGATTTAAGACAATGGCATTTACTTGTCAAAGCCTCTTCCTAACGTTGATAATGTTGTTTTTGAACGATGAAGTTCAGATTACGAAATTTCTCATGAAGAACCCTCACTTATGCGACTCAGACGCCCTAGCTGTCCAGAGTTTCCACGACAGATTCTGCATCAATGGGACAAAGTAATTGTTTGTATTGCAGCAGTAGTTTACTGCTTGATGTAGGTATGACTAAAACAGTGCATATCTCCACAAAGCCTTTTGATCTCATGCCTTCTTACAGACAACGCGATTCATATTGCGGCGAATAATCCATCTGGAAATGAAAGACAACCAAACTAACAATCAGTTTTCCATAATGTGACGACAATTTTAGTGCTTTTGATCCCTCTGATAGTTTTCAAGCTTCCTAATAAAAAATTGACTTCAACTCGCTAAAGCGGATCAACTACGCAGTTAAAATCACTCCTATTTCTATCAATACACTGAATTGAATTTTGTACCTTTGAGCTTGTCAACAATACGGTGCCAACCTACCTCCGGAACGGAAGAGAGGAAAGGCTTAATAGGTAGGTGATCGTCCATCGTGAACAAATGATGGTCTCCAAAGCCTCGAGACACTCCAATGGTGTTCAAGAGGCGTCTCTAGAAAATCTTATAAAATACGTCCGAGCTCCAAATTGTTTTCTTTCATCGAAACGTCTAAAGTAAATCAAAGTAATCTACTACAACCGTTCTTTCCGACTTTTTCATTCTACTCAACCTGCAGAGAGATCCTAACTTATTATTTACGGTGATTTTCCGCCGAAGAGTGATTGCTGATGGCAAAACATCGATAGAACTAGCTGAGAGACAGGCGAAACGAAGGACCCACGTGGTGTGGTGGTGAACGCGTTACTCCCCGGAAAGGACAATAGCGCGTTCGTTCTCCACCGCAAACACCTGCGGTCCGGAGTTTTGCAAATATCTCAGCATCATTAATGCTACAGAGAGATTTTGCACACGATTGTATCCAAAATTTACAAATAAATAGTGGATAACTGACAAGTTTTCTAATCAAAACGGAACTTGAATCTTCTTTCCATGAATAATGAAGGTATGTCTACCTTTTTTGACGACTGGCTGATCAACGGAGGCCTCAGATCGCTTTCCTTGACTGTTTTTGAAGCCCAACCATCCATGAACCAATCCCTTAGATTATAAAATGCCGCTTTTCAGAAGTAACCATTTGGTAATAAAACGTCATTGTGCAATAACTAAGCGTAGAATAAATCGTAACTCACCTGTAGAGAACCTTTGTCTTCAGATCTTTCTTTGTCAATGGTCGGGAATATTCCAAACGAGAGAAGCAGTTACCAATAAGCTCGGGGTTCTGATATGCCTTGAAAATTAGGGAATTAGGAATTAGGAAGAAGGAATTACTTAGTGGAGACCTCATAGAAAGCGGCTCTGAAGAAGGCGAAATTCGCCGAAACGTCAGCTTAATCGTGAACAAAGAACAATAACACCTCGCGTTTGCTCAAAAAAAAATACGAACAAAATCACTTGAAAATTAGATTGTTCTACAGAATTTTCATTCTCAATTTAAATGAGCATCTAAAAAAATGTTATGCCATGAAGATTTGCCTTGAGTGATAAGGCCAAAACTTCACAGAAGGGTAAAATTGTATTCATATAGAAGAATGCAGCTTCATTTTCACCGTCTTCAGTGATTTTCAGATAACTTATAGCAAAGTATTAGTTTTCTTTTTCCTTAGAAATCCTAGGGTTCCATAAGTGAAGAATCACGCGGTTACTAAAAAAATGACTGATGGTCATCGAACAGAAAGGCTTATATACCACTAATTGAATGCATTTTTAAACAAAAGATCTTCAAGGGTAAATACAGCACACTTCAGAAAATGTCGTAAAATGGACGAAAGAAAAGATATTGAGAGTTAAATTCCAATGAATCACTAGGTTTAGGCAAAAAGAACAACCAATTTTGAACCATAATTTTCAAGTCAGTATAAAAAAAAAGGATAAAAGATAGAACTCTTGGCAATGATCAATCCCTGAGGGATGCGCCAAGCATTCGACTTCATTAAGCACCGTTAAAGGTGAGTGAATGCATATCTGGGCTTTACAATAAATCGCGGTGCCCTAGCGATGTATCGAACCAGTGCTGCTATCCTCCCAGACAAGTCTGGTACTAAATTCTCGACCACGGAGGGATGGAAGGCTTGGTGGGCCATGGACGCGGGAATCGATTCCACGTGTGTATCGCGGCGGCGCCTCCAACCATAATACAAAGTCTAATTGTAGAGGGATTGCTCCGGGAAAGGGTAATAGTGAGGTTCGATCACCGACGCAGACACCTGCGGTCTGGAATTTTCATATATCTCAGCATCACTGTAGTTGTATTTCACACCATATCCTACCAAGAAAAAAGAATAGGCAGTAAATAAAAGCGGTTATATCCTAATTGTAGAATTCCTGATAAAGAATTATTACAATCACAATTATTTTTGTGACGGCCTCCATTATAAGGAATAGGAAAGCTTTAAAAACAAACAACACGACTGCAACAACGAAATGGAATCCAGTTATCCCAATGTTCTACTGCTGATAAACAGTTTGTTAGTAAATTACACTGTTAAGTTCCGTAACAACAGCTCTTTACCCATTCTTTTGGAATATTCACCTGCTCAATTTGGGGAACACAGTTCAATAAAAGTGAACAGAATGACTTACAAGGCTTTGCAGTCTCTTTCGTTCAGTAGCGGGAGTGAAGTCGGAACTAAGTGGTCGCGAACTCTTCTCCGTCGCCAGCACAGCTCGACAGTCACCCGCATTTGCTGAAATCATTACTAGATGTAACCTGGGAATAACTTTAATTATTTACTTGTATGGGCCGCTTTCACTAGTTGTGCGGGCTTCAGCATAATTTCCATTTTTCGGAGTTTAGCAATTGTGGATCCCTGGAGTCACAAGGTCAGCCTAGCTAAAGTCTGCTCCACGTCGTCACCACAACAGGCAGTCGCTGTCTTTGTGGACGAGAGAGATATTTGTCACCATGCGACTGGTTCGATACTAAGACTGTGGTGGATCCTGATATTGGTCTACTATTAGCTGGGATTCCTAATAGAAATGCCGGACTTCTTCTCATCGCAGCCCAACACCGAAGAACACCTCCCAACCACGATGAGGCGGTAAACCGTCGGCAGGCAATAACTTTAGAGTATTCAAAACGCCCACTCGAAAAAAAACTGCTTTAGAGAAAAGAAAGCTAAAAAGTCCTGATATGAATGATTCATACTACCATCCTTTAAATATAAACGTTATTTGAGTTAGAGAAAACTACAAAACCTAGTCTAAAAGGGAGACGAGATTGAGTCAGCGTGGCAGAAACGGATGGAAAATGCTAGTACATCTTTAGAAAGTGTGTTCGAGATTCTGGGGTGGAAGAAAACAACGGGAAAGTACAGTGGTATTAATCAACAACCGCAGCAAATGATTGACATAATGGCTAAAGTAGAAATCAATTGACAATGATATCCATGTGCATTGATATTATGTATTTTACCCACCCACATACAGTTTTCCTAGCAGTACAAGTACTGCTATGGCGGCACATCCACCACTGATTCTCCAGGTCTGCTTGTCTTCAGCAATTTGAGAATCCTTAAAATTTCTATTAATAGAAATTCAACGTCGGAAATCACCTAGAACGGGAAAACACATGCCATGTCTACAAAGGCTCCTTCTAAAGCGCCGATCACTAGTTCGTCACATCGGATTGACTCAGCCTCCACCTGTACCTGTAAAGACTACGAACAGCATGGTGTTCGAATTATTCAGAACGCACAGTTAACAGAAGGGACATGTCTATTATGGATAGTTGGACACTTGTATTACTCATCTTCATTACCAGTGCGTGTTCGAGCACATCTTCCTTCGTGTCATTCTGCGCAATCGTTGTCAACAAGGTGGTCTAACTACTACCACGATGCACATTCCACAAACCAGAAACCATTTCCGTTTGCGAACGTAGATGGATGATGTGAGCCATAAACACGTCAGCTAACTGTGTGACTTGTCGCCCGAAAGAACGTTCGCTCCACCTTTCAGCCCAACTAGGAGCAAATCAATACCAGATATCACCGCCGTCCTCATCTCAAACAAGTTCCAAGGTTGTAGATCCACTACAAGGAACCGATGAATACTCTTGGTGACGACATCAGCTTCCTGGTTATAGCTCGACCAGTAATGAATCGTCTCACTACTTAGCAACCCAGGTGTTAGCGCCTACGACGTCGAGAGGTGAGATAACTGATAACAGCCGATTAGATCACTCATTACAAGAGACGTCATTGGAACCGGATTAAACTCTGAATATTTCGTAGAAACCGATTATGGATCTAATGCGACTACAAGGCATTAAGGTAAGGAATCACAAAAAGGTTAAGGCTCTCGGCGTTGATCAATCCCTGATGAATACGCCATGCATTCAGTCTCATCAAGTATAGAGATAGCTAACTGGATGCATATCTAGTCTAAACAACTACTTGCGACAACTTAAAAATAGTGCAAGTTACGGCACCTTAGAGATACTGTAGGACGAATCTGAACGTGATCTTCCAGACAGAAGCGTTTCACTTCGATCCAGCTGTAAGATCAATTCCAGCACTTCACTTAATCGAGCCTTAAAAATAAGTTTAGACCTTAAGTGAAAATCCTAGCTGAACAGTAGTGATTTCAACCTTCACGTGTTCATGCAAACAACGAGCAGCAACCAAAGCTGCTCCAGTTCCGGCATGTCCATCGAATATGGCAAAGAAAGCGGCTTCAACTCTTGAACCTGCTGCCAATTGCGACTGAATTTATATCTTCGTTTATTTGATAAGTCCAAGCGCTTGTCGTCGAAATAAACTACGATGAAGTTAACACTGTCACACAAAAGTCGGGGGTGTAGAAATCTCCACTCACAGTGCAGTTGTCGTTTGGTGACATCAGCTCATCGTCGTCTTTCACACAAGGTTTTGGAACGGAACATCTGCAAATGTCTTAATAAATAAATTATGACAAGGATTTTGGTCTAAACTGCTCCTGAAGCTCAAATCTCAATTATAATTAAAATGGTCTACAAATAAAAGTTTGAGCTATCATGGACCACTGACCATGCGTTAAAACAGGTGAAGCACAACTAGCCATCTATTAAGTATTATTAGTAATACAACAAGGATCTAAGGTGATAGAGAAAATGGTCGGTAAATATGAAAAAAGATTTGCTAAATAATACTGTTCTCATTATGTTAACCTTTATTCATTGCTTATTACTATTTCTTCACAGCAGGTCATGATGTGAAATGCAACACTGTGAGGCTGACATATTCGCAGAACTTGGACCACAGGCCAGATCAAACCGCGATTATCCTTCCCAGGGACTCAGGTGCTACTCACTACACCAATTGCTCTCCTCTACTCTCAGCCTTCCAAGTGTTGTTATTATGCATATCAAATCTGTGATGCAAAAACTTAATTTAAAAAAACGTACAGACTGTGCTTCTTCTGGCAGTGATCGAGTTCCTTAGCTGGTTCAGCATCACAACCTTGTTGCAGAAGAGTCATAATTCTTGCTGAGGCCTGATCTTCGTTTTTTAACGTCTTCCCTGAACAGTGATTTCAATAAAAATTTTTGCTAGACTCTTGAGTATAAAACTACGTTTTTATAGACAGGACTATATTCAACGATAAAATGTGAATTTGTAGTGTTAAATAAACAGCCGGCTCCAGGTAGCACAGTGGTACTGATGTTGTCTAATACGCATAAAGTCCTGGTTTGACCGCGCTCTGGCCAACCAGACACTCCAACCGCCCGAGGTCGGGAAATTAGCACCAGATTTGTCTCGAAAGAGCTGCGTCGATCCGCAAAAGGCGACTGCCTGGTGCAAATACTGAATCGCCCCATTACCGCTATCTCAGGATTTCGGGGAGAATCTACTCGACCAGTATTCAAATACAATCGTAAGGATTACCATAATTCCTCAAGCAGCCGCCGAACCCACACCAATAAGAAACGAACCAAACGGAAAGACTTATTGGATCCATAAAATATGTGATGTTGGGTCGAGTAAAATAAGAAAAGAAATTGAATAATTAACAACCACAACCATGGAAAAATCTTAAAAGTATCTTGACGTTAGTGGTACTCTTACTATGTTTACGAATAAACTATAAAGAATAGAGCTCTCGACGTTGATCAATCCCTGAGAGATGCGCCATGTATTCGACTTCATTAAATATCGGTGGAGGCGACTGAATACCTAAGTGGCCTATACAATGACCCGTGGTTGCCCACCAGTGTATCGAGTCAATGCTACCATCCTCCCAGACAAGTCTGGTAGCAATTTGCCAACACCGCAGGGATGGAAGGCTTGGTGAGCCTGGCGTACGCGGATCGACCCCATGTGCATAGCAGGGCGCCTACGACCACTGCGCTTCACACGCCCTTTGTCTATAAAAAAAATTAAAATTGATAGAAAAACACATAAAACGAAATGATAACTGATCTAAATGCTGTTACTCTTCGATCGAAGCTGTAGCAAAAATGGACAGTGTTCGTACCTGCATTGATAACTTCAGCGTAACCAGCATAAAGAGGCATCCTGGATGAATATTTTGGACACAACACGGGGCGAACTCGTTGATCGGCAGAAAGAAGGACCTCGTCCTCCGAGAAGTAGAGGAACTCCGGACGTGAATACGGGTATAGTTGCCTCTCCACCAGGGCTTGAAGTAACTCCGATAATATTGTAGTGTTGATTTATTCATGTTTAACCTATGAGTACAGCATTAATTTTTAAGGGCCAATCACATCAGGAAATTCTGAAAATTACATCTTCTTTACAAGGATTCTCGACCAAAATTACTGGTTCCTATCCCTCACTGCCCTAGTATTCCATTCTCTCATCATTCAAAACTTCATCGAGCTCATTTTGAACCTCAAATGCATCCATTGACCATTGAGGTAAATTTCGGAGATATACTGTTACCGTATGTATAGAAGACTTTTTGAAAATAGTTTAATACGAGAAAGACGTCCATAATTGCTAATGGGTATGTATTGTGAGAAACATGGTACAGTAAACGGTACACTGCCCCTGCTTAACACTTCGTCAAGCCACTTTAGCTCGGAAACATTCAGGCATTGGCCAGCAATTCACTGTTTGCTTTATGAGCAAATATGGGGCTGTTATTTTAGCGTTTATTCATTCACAATAACCGATGCTTCCGCAGATTTGGCCTATCCAGAGTCTCCAAGGGTGAAAACGGTGCGCAATCTACTCAGCCACACACTTTCATCGCATCGGCAGACAGAATTTAATGCGCAAATTTTCATCTGCACAACAGACAGCTTCTTTTGAACAATTACGGCTTTGTTCTTTATAAAATTCGAGTTAACTGGTGTACAGCAGCGGCACAGAGTCCTAAATGGGCGAAGAATGTACATGGCTCAGGTCAAAAAATCAGCCCGAGGTACGGCGCGGGGTCACGCGTGATCAAAGCGCACTGCTCCTGGAGGTTCATTTTTGGACTGCTGGAATTTACCAAAGCAGTTTAAGAGTTTTGCGCACAGATGTCTTAGATTCCTGTGCAAGGATGATGATTTCTACATCAAGACTTCTCCGTTATGTCTTCTGCCCTATGCGCGTCTAGCAGAGAATCTTGTTTGATTTCAAGTTCCCCACCTAGGTGCTCTTTTACACGGATGCGAAGTGGTCTTTCCGTTTCAATAACGTATTAGTCCCCATGCGCTTTACAAGAGATTATATCAGCATACTCGAACTCATCCAATCACCGCCTCTTTCGTTAGGGAAAATTATGCTATCGCACGTTTCGGACAGACGGTCATACAGAAGGTTACGAACTAGCTGACGTCCTAGAGTGTTCGGGCGTTTTTCAATCACTGCTACCGACTTATCTAAAACTGCCCTTTTAAGCAACATCTTATGGTTGTGCTTATTTTGTTTAAAATAAAAGTGCAGGAAGAACAGGACCCTAATTTCACCAGACTTCTTGTTTTGAGGGCATTTTTTCCTCTAAATTATCCCGGGTGGCTATTGCTTCGTAGTCATTGGAAATGGCTATTTTTTCTGGAAAATTCTTTACGAATAGGTCAGCGAAACAAGTAGACCACTGTGCACCCGTACAAGGGAACATCTACTTGGGAAAAATCAAGGGAAAAAATCAAACACAACACGATTGGGCATGCACAGGGCACAAAAACATAACGGAGAAGGTTTTCAAATAAAAGTCCACAATTTTCGCAGCGAAATCCAAAACATCAACCGGTAAAACTCCTGAAACATTTTTAACATTCAACAAACACTGAAATCCAAAATTCCAAAAATGAACAGCATGGAAGAGTGCCCTGTGATCAGGCGTTACCTTGCACCACACATGCTGATTTTTTGACCGGAGCCGCACATTCCTCGCCTATGTGAAACTCTGTGCGGCTGGTTACTAAATAGTTGGAGGCTTACGAATAACAAAACAGTGAGTGCTTAAAAGAAGCTGTTTATTATGCGAATGGAAATTTATGTATTAAGTTCTATTTGCTGAGGTTACGAAAGCGTTTGGATGAGTAGATTGTGTATCAGTTTCACGCTCCCCCGTCTATGAAGAAGACGAAATCGCCGAACGTCAACCATTGTGATTGAATAAATCCTATATAAACAACCGTGTGTGGCTCATCAAGAGAACAGTGAATTACACTGCTTAGCCTGCTTTCAAACAAAAGTACGGTCAATTACGAAAGGTCACGAAGTGGTTTTCCATTTCATATAAGAATTTTCACGCTGCTTGCATAAGAAAAATCAAGGGTTTGTTTGATATATTATTAGTGGATGTTGCCAAAGAACAATAAACAGGAAGAAGGAAGAGCGATTACGTTACATGTTATTATGTTACACTACGAATACGCGAAATAATAAGCCTAAGCACCACCTAAAACAGGAACCTGAGACCAGTGATGTCGATTTTAAGAATAGCGGGATAAGTTGAAACATGTTATCTTTCACCTAACTCAGGTGGTGATCGGCAAAATCTCAAATGGTCCATAATGCAAATAACTACTCAGTGAGTTCCGTTCTTTCGTTGGAGGCAAAGCGTACCACATTTTCGCTACAATGTCCTTTATTTTACTGTTTTTGGAAATAAACCAGCCAAAGGAAGCTGACTGGGGCCGATTTTAGAATGGTTTGGCTAAACTTCCCCGGTTGGAAACACTGAAATTCTTTTCAACTTAAATAACCTTAGTGTACCTTGTAACCAGTATCCAAGAAATAATCTTGCCACTATAAGGCGGTAAACTACTCGGACTTTTCGTCTATCTACATAGAATTGGCCTCCGATTCATGTTGGAGATGATGAAATTGTAGATAGACCTAAGGAAAACGTTACGTCCGAAGCAGTATACTTCAATAAACCGTTTACAAGCCGCTGTTAAGGCTTTTTTTCTGCAAAATCTATCACGCTTAAGAAGTAGTAAACTAAAAATTGAAATCTCCTACATGGAATGAAGCCGCCAATGAATTTCGCGTCGGAAACATCGACCACCATGCCTATCCTAGGAGGCTTCGTCATTTCGGGTGACTCGGCGGCACGGGTGACGGCTGACACCACCCGCGAAGCCAGGTCCATACCTGAAATTCTCGTAAAATTTACCTACGTTTCTTCCATATACGGAAACTGCTTGTCGAACTCATAAAGGTTCTCGATCCGATAAGCATAGAGACTATTCTCTACCTCATAGAGAATATTATTCAATTCTAGAACTTCATGCACCTCTTTTGTACTGCCTGAAAAATGCTCCATAAGCTTGTAGATTTAGCTCATATACCTACGTCTCATCTGGTTGGAAAGGTCTTCTTAATGTTTTGTATGCCACATCTGCATACTTGTAAAAACAGTGGTTAAGAAAGAGTTGCTACCCTTATATTAAACCTCTACCTACTCCAGATGGTTTACAAGCCAACATCAGCTTGCGAAGTCACCCGTGATCTCTTACATGATCTTTCCCTCTTACTCCTTTTGACTAATATTAACTCAACTGATCTTAAATGTAACTACTCATCGTCCTCTAATACTAATTCATTGAAATTATCTCTACCTTACCATCGTACATGTTAATCCTACTACTACTGTTACGTTATTTCACATAATTTATAAGTGGAACTTTAATTACTCAAGTTTCAGAGTTCAATAGCAGAAGTAATATGTGGTCCCATGCCTTGAAATAGCATATTTTTCCATATTTTTACATACATATTTTTTCTACATATTTTTCTAGCATTTAGCAAACAAGCAAAGTGATGCATCAATTTCCTCTATAAGACGAATATATACCTCTAAACAATCTACTACTAACGGCCAAAGTTTGTACATTAAACAACTCACTTCTACGATTTAAGAGAAGTAAATCTGATTGAAAATCACAAATGAATACGCAGTAATATTAACGCTTTCCACTCGCAAAGACTTTTTTGCGAAAGCACAAATCCATTTTTAAGCATTCTATATCAGAGTGTAGAGACATCGCTAACATTCAAGTAGAACAGCAATACGAGGAAGTACAGATGCGAAAATGAGGGACGAACTCAGATGAACGTTATTGAAACAGGACGTAAAATTGCACAGAACTATTTAATCACTTTGGCTTCAAATCTGTTCCTATACAAAACAATTGGAAAAGGCAGAAGCACCCGCGAAAATATGTTTGGCAGGGCGAGAAGTCATATTCATAAGCTTTTCGGGCTTAAAGAAAACCTTGGGAAATACAACAAATAACACTGCAGACGAAGTAAACAGCGGCGTAACACCAGAAGACTTATTAGGTATTCTAATTCTCAAGGTATGTTTTATCCACTTCATCTTATCTACATCCAAGTCCTTTTCCTGAGGTGATCTTCCTGCCAGATGCTCTTCAACCAGATCCAAAAGAACCTATTAAATATAACGACAAAAATAATGAGACAGAACAGTTTTGCAGAAATCGCGGCCGGCTCTGTCGTGAAAAAAAGTAGTAGGCAACAAAAGTTAAGATACTAAGCAGTAAGTAAAAAGTTATACATTGCGATTTCGAATTACAGGCTCAGCTTAACTGGGTCAAATGCCGATTTGTTTTCCCCAGATAATTCCTGCTGACGGATGATGGTGGATGGTAACGTGAGGGTAAAAAACTGGTTGAGAAGAAAATAAAAGAAGGGCCTCAGTGGTGCAGTGCATAACACGTGAACCCCAGGAAGGGGTAATCGCGGGTTCGAATGTTGGCCCGGAGCACGATTTTTGCAAATATCTTAGCAATATTGTGATTGTATCTCAAATAACGCTCCGCAATAAAAAAAAGAAACGTGTAGTATTAAAGGTTAAACAATTATAATGAGAAATACTTAATTGGACCCCCTTTCACTTAACCTCGGCGTGAATAATCAGTACATTTCTTTACATACTATAGATTACACGAGTTTGTTATACAAGTTTTATTCGACTAGCGTTTCGACGTTTTCGTCTTCTTCAGGTGATGATCCGAGTCGATCATCTACAGTGGTTCCTCCTTACGGTGTTGGTCTTCGCAGTCGTTCCGAGTCAAATTTCCTTTATTGCAGCAGCGATTGAATGAAGTAATCTCATTCGTCGGTGTCCTTTTATACAGGACAGTTTCTGACTGATCGTCGATTTGATAATGATATCTTTCATTCGGTACTAGAATAGCTAGGACAAAGAAGGAAAATATAAAAGAACAAAAAAATGAAAAAAAAAACGAAAAGTGGAAGAAAAGGGAGAAGAAATAAAACAACATGGAAAGAAATCATTATCAGCTGACAATCAGCAACAACCGTCCTGTATGGACACCGCCGAGTGAAAAGTTACTTCATTCGAGGGGGTGCTCTACTCAAGCACATTCGACTCAACACGACCGGGCACTACTTAACACAACGCGAGGACGAACAACCGTAGGCCATCAACTCGGACCAACGACTCTGAAGATGATGGCGCCGAAATGTTAGCGGAATAAAACCTTCACAACAAACTTGTATAAGTGAACAATCTAAAAAAACACAACAAGGTATCTCTAGAGATGTCCGGATGAAAATTTCATTTTATTCATTTGCTACATCAGCCGTGTAGATCCGAGGACTTCGTGCCTTCGATTCGTTTCCTCGTACACATATTTCACAAAGATATTCGAATTTTGCGAAGTGGTTCGGTTGCTGCTTGAGGATTTTTGGTCTTCTTCATGAGTGTCACTGTGTGCCCATCGAGTTCATTCCTTCTGAAGACTGGATAGTCGTGTTAGTGCGTTCTCTAGTGTTCACCAGATGTAGTCACCAGCCTTTTGGTGTAGAGAGGCTTTTCAGACAAGTCTCTTACCAATTTCTTGCCCTGAAAGGATGGGAGGCTAAGTTGGCCTCGTACGATGTTGAACCAGGGACTTGTGAATATTACTGAGCAGCGTCTCTACCTCCGCTCTGGTAATAGCGCATTTAAAATAAAAATACGGTAACAAACGAGCTCTCGTCAATCAACAACTGAACCGACTATGTCCAGTATAATCTGGATGCAATCGTTCATGGATAAGGAAACTATGAGAGTCGCACTATTCAATAGTCGGCCACCTGCACTAAGGCGAAGAAATGTTGACAGCACGGCCGTCGTACAGCAACAAGTTCTTGGGAATACGTACAGAATACTGCAAGATATGGCTTATAACAAAAGCAACAACAGCGGTCAGATGCAAATGGGGAGAGGAAAAGCAGGCTTGTAACCACTAAGATGAAAGTGACAAAGCGAACAAGAAAATGATCTGATTCCGGAATGATACGAAGGTTAGCTAGACAAACGACATTCTATGGCTCATTGTTTTTGTTCGACAAGCAAACACGAGGCTCTCGAAGAAAAACAGTGAATTATCAATCAATGAAGAGGTTAATAGAAAGTCGGTCTTGGGGATTCGAAGGTTTCCCATGAAAACCGCTAAATGAAGACTCCCGGAGGCACCCTACATTTGTTTCTACGAGGAATCAGAACACCCGTCAGAAAACTCGGACAAACAGATACAGTGACTGTAAAAAGCAATAGATGTAACGAAAAATAGCGCCTCATGCCATTATTATGAACTGAACTGTCATCGATCAACCGTTTACAAGCAGAACCTTAGTATACAACAAAATTAACGACTTCAATCGCCTATCTGCGGAAATCAATATCCACAAAAAAGCAACAAACCAATCGATAGTATATGGAAAAGACTACACCACTATGAGAGAGAACACCACCACGTCAGCAAAAACCAACACGGCAGCGGCCGATAAAGCACACCAGAAAAACATTCGTATTCAACAGCCGACGCGGAGATTCCGCCAACGCTCAAACCTCATCTAGATAGGAGAATTTCAAAACTTCTATCCAAAGAAATCGTAATGACATCGGATACGGGAGTAAGTCGTGTTCTCGAAAGTACTGGATTGCTCGACTACCCGAACTAGTAAGATCTCGACTCCACAAAGTAAACTACTCAAATATTCAGCTCCTACTCGATACTTGAACGTCCCATCCTCACTGGTTGTGCGGGCCTGCTAGTTAAGCCATTGTGGTTCGCTGGAATCCCGAGGTCAACCTGGTGGAAGTCTGTCTCAGGTCTACACCACCACAAAAAGTCGCACTTTGTGGATCTGAGGAAGATTTCCCACCATGCGACTTTGACACCAGCACGGTGGTGAATCCTGGTATTGGTTTACTTTTAGACAGGCTTCCTGATGGAAACGAATTCTTTCTCAGCTTGGGAGACTCTACCGGCTGGACGAATCCCTCTGCTGTACATCGCAGTTCGACAGCCAGAAACAGCTCCCAGCCACGATGAGGTGGTAAACCGTCGGGAAGAATATTCAACTCACAGAAGATAATTAAGAACATATGTTGAATCACCGTTCTACAATCATGGATTTAAAAAAAACTGGAGATCGAAAAGAAAAGACAACGCTTTTGACGTTGATCAACCTCTGGAGGATGCGCTAGGCACTCAACTTCAACAAACGTAGGTAGAGCTGACTGAATGCACATCTGGTCTATACAGTGACTTGCAGTAACCGATGTATCAAGTCAGTGTTGTTATCCTACTAGACAAGTCTGTTAGCAATTTGCTGATCCTGGAGAGATGATGGACTTCGTAATCTCGGTAAGTGGGATATAACCAACAACCAGGTGTACATTGCGGGGCACCTCTACCCACTGCGATAGATCCGCTTCATATCCTAGCTATAATGCTTTAAAATTTTTGGTTTGAAAGCGCAGTCATATTTGCACCAACACGATGACAAAAAATTCTAATAATGACAGCACTGGTACAAGAAAACGCTTTGAACTTGTTCTGCTAATGCCGTCATATTGAGATCTTTCTGGATTAGAAAGGAACATGGTTCTATGAATGCAGGTTGTAGGAAATATTTCCATGAGTAGATATGAATGTAATATTGTGTTATGACGGTTTCATAGGAACCAGGGAATAAACTCTTCTGAGTGAACACTTGACCGTCAACAGCTTTTTTGAAAGCAGCCGATAGTTTTCAACTACACCCCTTAAGGAATACAGAGTCAGATAGAATCACAGAAAAATCTTTGTATAATTGCTTTAACGCAAGAAA